TGATGTTATTCATAATTTGATATCTAATAATCATAATATCAATAAGAATGACAATGTCAATATTAGTAGCATTGGAAAGAAAAGCGCATTTTCCCGCCGGAGGAACGGGGAAATCAGGATCGGTCACAAGGGCCATCTGATAGACTCCTTGCTGCTGAGCACGCGTAGAGCCAGCTGTGTGTAACAAAAGTAAATATAAAGGGGACAGTAAATAAACCCGCTGACATTGAGTTAAACCTTACACTATAACTACATATCTAGCCTAATGTTTTCGGCCCCAATATGCTCCCTGTAAGGTTGAAACACAGAGTTCACATGTTATTTATTTTTCTTGTTTCGTATACGTGCATTTTCATAAGTAATGAAACAGTCGGTAACGAACACTAACGAGTTTTATAACAAGTTTCAAAACAGTAACCCAATATAATACGGAACGTAATTTAAAGCCATCTCTTCCAGCTACATTTCTAGCAACGAAGTGCTTTTCTATGGCCAACACGACTTGGCGGCAAATGGTGTATGGATCGGTTACCTTGATTAGATCACTTTTCATATACGGTACCTTTATGTCTGATGACTAAATGCACATTTCCCCCACTCCCGTCACCTGCCTGCGTTTGTAAACATTAATATTTTCATTACCTCTAAGGAGGTGGTCCAAGACGGGGTTGCGATACCTCAGCTAAGAGGTGACCGTCTGGCTCTCTGCGTCCGGGTGGGGGGCTGGAGGGCTGGTGGAGTTCGTCTGGGTCGCCGGAGGCCTCCCATTCATCGGCCTCGATGGGTATTAGGCTACGGTGGTGCTGACCCCTCTCCGACTGCGGCGGATAGAGCCGGCCAGCCTGAAATAATTATTTTACTGTAAAATAAGATTATATAGTTTTACATTTTATATTACACGTTGGATACGCAAAATATTGCATGTTCACGAAACAATTACTAAAATGAAGCCGCAGAAGCGGGTCCTGGTGTGGTGGCAGAGGAACGGGTATCTTGCGAAGAACTGATGGAAGTACTGTGGGCGCATACCTGGACACTTGACCCAAGCCTATGAGTCCCTCCCAACAAACGCTCCAAGTTCAGCGTGTGGATCCTGGCGGGGTCGCCCGAATTCTCACTATGGTTTATCACAGTGAGAATGTCCAAAATCCTGAAGCGTGCTGCATGCGCCCCAACCGTCACTAAAGTAAAACCACCTTCTCGGACGTACCGCTTCATGAGTGGTATTAATGTAGCGACGGTTCTGTCCTGTTCTTCAGGATCTACCAGCGGGACCACAAACAATTCCCGCTCTATCCAGCCGAAGACCCATGCCTGGTGAACCATCCTCCGCCTGTGACACTTCCGCCTCACCAGCAGGGTTTTCGTCAATCTCGCCTTCCACCCCTGGCCCGCCCATGGCTTCTTGCTTCCCGAGCCAGACCTCCGTCCCTCAAAGCCCTCGATCACCGTCCTGTGGTCCCGCGTGTGGTGCAGGAAGCGACTGATGAACATAAGCAGCTTCCACGCGAAAAAAGTCCGACACTTGAGAATATTCAACATGCTGTTTCGTTCGAAATATTTGGTAATGTAGTTAATGTCAGTATTATATCATACAGCAACATGCAAGTTATTAGCAATTGAAATATTAGTTACATTTACCTACAGGAGTATTGCCGCCACCGATTGGTTTTGCTTACTCTTGTCCACCTGAAATTGCAAGTCAGCCGGTCCTCCCGGAGATTACACGGTACCTTGCAGTGAGGGCTTTTGCTCATGAAAAAATCATGATTATAAAATAATCCGTATCGCACAACCCACCTACAGGGACAGCATCCTCAGGAACCGCTAGGATGGAAGTGAAAGAACGCGATTCGAAACCTTTGCCACGAATTTCGGCTCAAGTTTCGACTATATTTTTGAAACACTTCGGCAAAGTATTACAGATATGAAGGAATCCTTTTCATTGGCTGGTAGTTATAACTTGGTAACATATAACGATATGTTACCAAGTGCGACCTAAATCCAAACTTAACCCTTTCCTACCATCTGTTTATGAGGCACCTGTACCCCACAGCTTATAGAAAAATGCTAATTCTATGAGATGGAATATTCGCTTTTTCCTATTTTTCACCCTATCCCCGACAGTTTTGAGGGACACGGGAGGAATCGTGGGTTCTAAGGGGGAGGGGGGACAGGTACCCCCTAAAACATTTTTGAAAAGATGAGCCAAATCCCCCCCCCAAAAATAAAAAAAAGTTTTGAAGGTAATTAAGAGTAAAAAGTGGAAAAAAACGAGCCCAGGCGTCGCACGAATGAACCCCAGCCTAAACAGATTCTACAAATATCGCCTTACGAACCGAAAAACTTCCTCGACCCCTTCTCGATCGCTGCTCTTCCCTAGCTGGGGGCCGTAAAAAACCCAACGCCCCAGGACCCCCATCCGATCGCCGTGTTTTCCTAACCAGTGTTGTTCATTATACTACAAACCAAACTGAAAATATAGAAATATCTAATTTAACCAGAGGATGGGTAGGAACTCTGCCGCCGCACGAAGAAAAAGGTGAAGACGTGCTGCTTAATATCAAATTTACACTTGCTTGAACTTGAGGCACTAATGGTTTTACAAAACGAGTCCATGGCCCCGTAGACATTCAGCGGTTCATATGACACCGCACAAGTTCGCCAGACAATGACGTCACTCTACATTTTATAGAGCTTAAAGTGTGAAGAGATTGGGGAAATTAGTGAAATTAATGAAACAATGGTATTTATATAGTTTGGAGAGTATGGTAAATCAGCATGAGATTACGTGTAAATGTGTATCAAACGATAGACAGTAGCACACGCACGAAGTTCCGAGTTGGATGGTTTAATTACAAAGAAGGGATACACTTCGACAACTTTATTTTTAATACTGACGTGATTATGCCTTTCGTTCTTTAATTATGACTCGATTAGTTTGCATATTGTTCTTTCACTTCAGGTTACTTTACTGAAATCCCATGTTTTCTAGATTAACTCTAATTTCGCGGTAAATACAAGGCCGTTATTCCCGTGTTTAATACTATTAAGTCCATTTCTCTCTATCTTGGCAACATGAATCATTTTGACAAGCGCGTAGTAACAAATGAAATACTTGGTATATCACAGTAAGGAGTTTTGCGGTCAATATAGAATTCAACCTCGCAATGGAAACAAGACGAGGGATTAGCTGAAATTTGGCAATATCCTCCGTTCTTTTACTTATAGCATTATTTGGGAAGCATTTGCACATACGTTAATCTTAGTTTGCATCGTTTTATCAATTCGTAAGTTTTATTACCCAACTCTGCCACTACCTCCCAATTCCACATTGTCCTAGACTTTCCTACAAATAACTAAATTAACAAAGAGGAGGATCCAAGACAAGAACTCTTAAAATCCTATAACAAGAAAGACCAAAAAGGATATTAAATTAAGGAAAAAATACATCTACACGTGTATTTACGAGCCCGCAGATCCACGCCACTCGAAAAAAGGACCTGGTCACGACAGGACAAATACTTATAAAACCCAAGTACTTATCAACAGCACAAGCGTGTGTTTCGAGAGCTCAGTCACGGACCACGACCAGGGAAGGAGTGCGGAGTTACCTGAAGGAGGAGGAGAACCAGGGAAAGCCGTGAAGGAGGTCGTTAGCTAAACACCACCTCTACTATTACCATTATCTTTAGCGAAATATCTGTATGCTTATCTACGAACGAAAAAAAATGACATTTCTGTTGCGGGTGCGATCTGATAAAGTTGCAATAGCACAGATGGTTATGATGATGGTGATAGTTATAATAGAAGTAGTAATAACACCTAGGATATGGATGTTATTGCTGATAATGGAGATGATGATTATGACCATAACCACAGCTACGGTAATGATGGTTGTGCTGACAACGACCGTAAAAATAATGATAAAGGATAACAATAATTGGTAATGATAACGATGGTGATTAAAGTGGAGAATGAGCTTAGTGATGAGGGCAGTGATAACGGGAAAAATGTTTACTACGAAAATGATAAATTAGTAAATTCTGATAACAATGATAACGGTCGTTCTTCTCGCTGTCTCTCTTCCCCTCTTCCTTTTTGACGATTATCTGCTTCCTTTATTAATATTATTTTTTTTTTGTAATCTCTCATCTTCCTTCTTCCATTGTTTGCTTTATATTTCGCCTTCGTTTCATTCTCTTTGTTTGTTTCCTTTGTTTCTTCCATTTCCTTCGTTGTCCATTCGCCTGTTTTTAGTCTTCCTTCCTCCCTTAGTCTTTTGTTTTTGTTACTCTCCCTGTCTCTCTTGTTTTGTATTTACCCTCTTTCTCCTCTGCCAATTTTTATTTTTTATTATTATTATTTTTCTTTACTTCATCTTTTCCCTCTTCCGCCGTTTATTTATTTATCTATCTCCTTTTCCTTCATCTGCCATTTATCCCTTTCTTAGTCTCTCTCTATTTCCCTTTTCTTTTTGTAAATTCTTTCTCCTTTCCCTCAACCTTTGATCATTGTTGTGCTCTCTCTCTTTCTTTTCTATTTGCATCTTTTCTATTTAAAAAAAATGTATTACGCAAATGGCTGTTAGCTTATGTAAATATAAGTGTTTATGAAATAATGAAAAAAAGTGTGCTTATTAAGGTTAAATTTGACACAAAAGAGATTGTTATCGAGTTTAATATCATATTCGGACATATCCATAGTTTTAACAATGACAACAATATAACAGAGAAGAAATGATAATATTTCATACTATCTGCCTGGAAAAAGGGAAAACTTAAAATGTTATTTTTTATTAACGTTCTAGTTAGTTAATTACAGTAAATGCAGAGTGTATTCATTTTTTTTTACAGTGGTATATGGATACGTTATCACACAGTGTAGAGAGAAAATGAAATAGTACATGCAGAAAGAGAGAGAGAGAGAGAAAGAGAGAGAGAGAGAGAAGAGAGGGGGGGGGGGAAGGGAAAGGGAGAGAGAAAGAGAGAGAGAGAGAGAGCGAGAGAGAGAGAGAGAGAGCGAGAGAGAGAGAGAGAGAGAGAGAGAGAGAGAGAGAGAGAGAGAGAGAGAGAGAGAGAGAGAGAGAGAGAGAGAGAGAGAATCAAACAGACAGAGAGAGAAAGAGAAGAGAGAACAGACACAGAAAAAAATAATAAAGTGTATTGTTTCTAGAGTAAAGAGCAGTTTACAAAGTCTCCAGATAAATATGTACAAAAATCCAAGACAATAATATTTAGGGATTAATATATAACAAAATATAAGAAACGTAGTAAAGACGAAAAGACTTTTTTTGCCTTTCAGAAGCATCAAATCGTAAAATACACATTATTACTAACTGGAATCACACCAATTCAAGAAAATTAAGCAATTATATACAAAACATTCTACACAATGATGTTTACTCTTTATTTATTACAACCCATAATATATCTTATCACAGAAGGTTTTAGAAAAAAGTGATAATGATTTGCAGAAATTGCGAAATTAAACGGAAGGACACACAATCATGGGAAAAGTTTAACAATAAAATTTTCAAGGATAACTCACACACGAATTGTACAGTTGTTATGGATAATAGGTTTCAGTATATGCATTTATAGAGAAGAAAATAGAGAAAACAATCTAACATTATTTCTTTATAGTCTGTATATATATACATATGTACACGTAGCTTATCAGTGTCACGTGAATAGTACTTGTAAGCTACTGTTTACCACACCTTTTTTGCTCCTAGTAATATTTGACTTTTATATATATATGAAACATTTTAGCAATAATACATTGTTAATATACCAACCTTGATCTCAGTACAACCTCTATATAGATGCTTTGAGAAAGTACAACGGCTGATTAAAAGCAAGGAGAATTAATTTTATCTGTCACTTATTTTTTTTCGTAAATTAAACACTTTAATAGCAATAAAATGCTCATTTATCAAACAATCTCAGTATGACTTATATATATAAGTATATATATATATATATATATATATATATATATATATATATATATATATATATAAACTTTTCAAGAATAAACAAACTTCGATAAAATAAATAATAATAAAGAATGATTATTTGTTTGTTACTCACTCACTAAGTGACAGCAGGTATTTCTCAATTACAACATATCATGATAAATATACGTTGCTGACAAATGGGTCACCTTTTAATATTCCTGCTCGGCGAGACAATCTTCTATCCGTGAGATCTACATTATCATTACTGGTTTCGATTATCATCATTGTTTTTCTCATGGGAAAAAAGGTCTTTCAGATGCGAATCAATATTTAGAAAACGCTGAAGCACACACACACACACACACACACGCACACACACACACACACACACACACACACACACACACACACACACACACACACACACACACACACACACATGCCCACACACACACACATACACACGCGCACACACACACAGTAAAATAACATTGCCAACGTGACTCCGTGGCCTCCCTCACCCTTACTGAACTCCTCCCGCCTGGCCTATAAGGACGTGATTTCAGTTCCTAGTTCCTCGTCGTTGGAGTTCGGGGCGTACGGCCCCCTGGAGGGTGGGGACTGCTTCGGTGTCGTGCCTGTAGGAGGCGTAGACGGGGTAGGAAGACCGACGCTGGGAGGTCTTGAGGACAAGCCTTTGGGAAGACAGAGTTGGCACCGCTCGTGGGAACAACTGCTCGATAAGGAATTGTCGGAGAGCTGTTCTTCGGATTTCAGAGACGCCTGTTCTTCGGATGTCACAGAAAACCGTTCTTCGGATGTCACAGAAACCCGTTCATCAGGTATGCTAGAGACCCGCTCTTCAGAAGCCCGTTCCTCAGCGTCGTTCTCCAGCGTTCGGTTCGCCACTGCCTCTGCGGCGACGGTGCTGGCGGCGCTGACGAAGGACGTGAGGCTCCTGCTGCTCAAGAGGGTCGTCTGAGTCGCGGCTGAGGACACGCTCCCGACCTCGTCTCCGGAAGCTGCCGATTCGCGCACTTCTCGGCGGTTTTGAGTCGCGTCGCCGCCGGATTCCAGTTTGTTTTCGTCGGACTGTGCGAAGGAGGAGGAAATGCGTGAGAGCGAAAATGTATTTGTTTCTTATCATATCATTATTATTATTTTTTAAATGTCGATATTATTACTGAGTGAGAAAATGCACCTTTTTTTATTTTTTTTTTATTTCATCGTTATTATTTTTCTAGTGTCCGTGTTATCACCACTACTACTTCTGTTAGAAAATGGTGATGATGATGGCGATGTAAAAGCTGCTGCTGATGATGACGATGATGACGATGATGGTAATAACAACAATAATGATAATAATAACAATTAAACAATAACCCTACAACATCCAACAACCATACTACTCACATGCCAACCCCTACAAATCAACAAAAAAACAACAGCAAATGCAACAATGCAACCAACAAGATCAACAATATCCCAACATCAATCATAACAACAGCCATACTAATAAAAACAACCACCGTGCTAAT